GTGAAAGAACATTGAAATAAGAGTGTGTGCTGTATGAATCCACTTCTGTGTTGTTCAGGAACAGAAGAAAGTAACTGATGGTGGCATTCGGAAATGTGGGCATCTCTGGGGAGGAGTGTGTTCAGTGAAGCGGATCCACAGCCCTAAGTGGACTTGCAGTAATGCACATGCTGTAAGGAGAGTGGACAAAGGAATGGAACCACTAAGTAGGTACAGAGCATTTTAAGTATCAGCCCATGAGGTCTGTCTGTCAGTTAATGAACACTGACCACCTCTCAGCAGATGGTCAGGTGACCTATCGGCTGTGTGTCATCCACACATATGTCCAAAGCACATTGCATGGACTCTCCTTTTTTAGAAGGCAGTTGGGATGTTTCAGAATAGATCTTTTCAAGTAGGAAATACCAGATGTTTCAATGATCATGTCCATTGATCCAGAAGTTCTGCTTTATAGGAATGTTCACACTGATATATTCACAAGGATATTCAGTCCAGCATAATTTGTAGTATTTTCATTTTACATATGAAGAAGTTAATGTCAGTAACTTTTCCAAGGTTATTCGACTGCAAAGTAATAAGGCCAGAATTTTAATCCTGAGCCATTTGACTCAAAACCCCCTGCCTAGTAATTGTACCTACTACAGTAGTTGTGTTCAAAACAAGCCCTTGTGGGCTGTGTCTGGCTAGCAGATACATCACTAGGTGAGCAGCCTGTAGACTCTCTGCTCTAGGAGCAGGGGCCTCTCTTGTGCCTTCGACGTGAAGAATCTGCCCGCAGTACAGGAGACCTGGATTCGATCCCTGGGTTGAGAAGATCCCCGGAGAAGAGAATGGCTGCCCTCTCCAGTATTCTCGCCTGGACACTTCTGTAGACAGAGGAGGCTGGCAGGCTACAGCCCTGGGTCGCAAAGAGTCGGTCACGATTGAGTGACTGTCACTTCACTTCACTTCTCGGAATAGATGGGACAGAGTTGGCAACCCAAGGGCTGCAGTCAGAGGATAGGCCAGCCATATGCCTCAGAGAACCCCGAGAACTTCTAGAATGGTTTTCTGTCTCTCTCCCAGTCTAATATTGAAAGTCTCTAAAAATAGAGCATTGATTTCTAAGGCTTTAGGAGCTTAGAGCTAAGGCCAAGAAGGAATTATAGGAAGAAAGATTTCAACTCATGCTGGCAATCAGAAGCAGCACACAGTCCTAGGTTACAAGCTTGGCTTCTAAAATCAGTTCTCCTGTTACGTACCGTGTAATTTGGACAAGTCACTCATTCTCCCTGGGCCTCAGTTTTCCCACCTGTAAAAAAGGAGGATTGAATTAGATACACTGTCTGGGAGAACACATGTGAATCCATGGCTGATTCATGTCAATGTATGGCAAAAACCACTACAATATTGTAAAGTAATTAGCCTCCAACTAATAAAAATAAATGAAATAAATAAAAATAGATACTCTGTCTGGTCTCCGAGTTCCTTAAGCCAGTACTTTTGGCCACACACTGTTCGTATATTCCGGATAGGCATCCACCACCCCCAATTCCCACTGCCACTAAGTCCCCCTCTAAGAGCATAGCCAACTAGAGATTTCAAACCATAGGATTCTAAATCTCACTTCCCCACGTCCTCCCCTTGGGTACCTGATAGATACACTGAAGAGTCTTTTTTATCCGCTTCAGTATCCCTCAGCCATTCTTGATATGATGTGGTTTCCAGGCCTCCTTCCATTTAAGACGTGGCCCTCTGTGTCCACTAATGGTGTAGCACCAAAGCCACTTGAACACAGGCTTTCTGGGACGGACTTAGCCGTGGTGGAAAGGGGGAGGATCTTGCCTCCCTCACGCTGGTCACTGCACTGAGATTAATGTGTCCTCTGAAGAGCCGTGTTAACCACAAGGCGCTGTGCTTCTTATCACGCGTGTAACCACAAAACCTCCAGCCCTTTTTCTGATGATCTAAAGCTGAACCCAGAGAGAGAACCACCCCAGGAACCTGGGTATAGATGTTGGCCCACACTGCACTGTCAGTGTGTAACAAGTTATGAAACAGTTGTGTTTCCTTAGCTAATTTAGTACACGTGCTGCTCTTGTACTCTCTCTCTCTCTCTCTCTCTCTTGTTCACTCTCTCTTTTCACTGTAGGACAGCCGAACCTACCTTCCACCTGGCTAAGGCTTGGCGAAAAACGGCATTGCCCACTGTGCTCTGGCCTTGCTTCAGCCAGCAGCGCAGCAGGGCGGCGCAGTAAACCAGAGCTCTCGTCTTAGGGCCCCAGCAGCACGCAGGGTGACCCTTCACTTCTCTGAATCTTTTCCTGAGCTCACCTTCCTGACCAGAGGCAGGCTTCCCTTGTGGCTTAGCAGGTAAAGAATCCGCCTGCAATTCAGGAGACCTGGGTTCGATCCCTGGGTTGGGAAGATCCCCTGGAGAAGGGAAAGGCTACCCTACTCCAGTATTCTGGCCTGGAGGATTCTGCAAAGAGTTGGGCATGACTGAGCGACAGTGGACTGACTTACCTCCAATTTCAGATCACAGAACCCTGGAGCTTCAAAGCCAGAAGAGAGCTGAGAACCCATCTCGTACCCCTCCTAAAGCAGGATCCTTTCCATTGTAGCACTGACAGCCGGCCATCCAGCCTCATCCAGACACCGCTTGCATATTTCCATCTCTAAGGGCCGAATATTTCTCAGTTAACACTTGCTGACAACTTGCTGTGTGGTAGCAGCTGTGTTAAGTGGCTTCATGTGCATAATTTCCCCCCCATTTCCTACCACCCTCCTCTGGCAACCATCCATCTGTTCTCTGTATCCATGAGAACATACGAGATAGAGCGTATGGTATTTGTCTTTCTCTGTCTGACTTCTTTTCCTTAGCATAATGCCCTTGAGATACATCCATGTTGTCATAAATGGCGAGATTCCATTCTTTTTATGGCTAAATAATATTTCATTGTGTATACAGTATACCACAGTTTTCCATATCTGTTCGTATATCAGTGGACACTTGGATTATTTCCGTATCTTGGCTGTTTTAAGTACTGTTCCGTGAACATGGGGGTGCACATGTGTTTTTGACTTGGTGCTGGTGGTTTGGTCACTAAGTCGTGTCCAACTCTTGGACTCCAAGGATTGTAGCCACGAGGCTCCTCTGTCCATGGGATTTCCCAGGTGAGAGTAGTACTTTCGTTTTCTTGGGGTAAATACCCAAAAGCGAAATTGCAGGATCATGTGATAGTTCTATTTTTAACTTTTTGAGGAACCTCTGTACTGTTTTCTAATAGTGACTATACCAATTTGCATTCCTACCAACAGTACCCAAGGGTTCCTTTTTCTCCACATCCTTGCCAGCACTTAATTTCTCATCTTTTAGATAATAGCCATTCTGACATGTGTGCGATGATAACCTCTTGTGGTTTTGATTTGTATTTCCCTGATCACTGCTAATGTCTGACATCTTTCTATGTGTCTGTTAGCCATATTAGTCCCTTATCAGATCTATGATTTGCAATCACTTCCTCCCACTCAGCAGACTGCCTTTCCATCCTGTCACTGGCTTCCTTTGCGTGTAACTTTTTAGTTTGATGTAGTCCCACTTGTGTTGCTTTGGTTTTGTTGCTCTTGATTTTGGTGTCAGATTCAAAAAAATCACCACCAAGACCTGTGTCAAGGAGCTAATCACTTTGATTCTCTTCTAGGAGCTTTATGGTTTCAGATCACAAGAATATGGAGATTAAACAACATGCTGCTAAAGTGGATTGAGGGACAGATCAGAGAGAGACTTGTAAATGCCTGGACACAAGCAGAAATGGGAGTATAACCTAACAGAACTTGTGAAATGGAGCAGAAGCAGTTCTCAATGCTACTGCTAAGTTCATAGCAGTAAAGGCCTACCTCAAGAAGCAAGGAAAGTCTCAAACAGCCTCACTCTACACTCAGGGCACTGGGAAGAGATGAGCAAAACAAGCCCAGAGTTAGTAGAATGAAGGAAGCAACAGTGATTAGAGCAGAAATAGAGACTAAAGAGGCAGCAGAGAACAGCAGTGAAACTTAAGAACTGGTTCTTTGAAAAGATAAGCTGACAAGCCTTTAGCCAGACTCACCGAGGAAGAGAGAGGACTCTGTGCTCAGGTTAAAATGCCCATTCCTACTCAAAGCAATCAAGAAACTCAATGCAGTCCTTATCAGGATTCAATGGCATTTTTCATAGGGCTAGCACAGTAATACTAAAATCTGTAGGGAACCACAAAAGACCCCCATGGTGAAAGTGATCTTGAGAAAGAGCAACAAAGCTGGAGGCACCGCACGCCCTCATTTCAAACTGGATCAAAGACTGTAGTAATGTAAACAGCATGAGGCTGTCACCAAAGCAGGAACCAGTGGAGCAGAAGAGAACCCCGTCACAAACCCACGCACTAATAAACTATGGTTTATTAGTTTATGACAAAAGGATTCAAGAACATACAGTGGGGAAAGGGCATCCTGTTCAATAAACAGTGCTAAGAAATCGAGGGTTGTCCTTTTAATTAACAACCCTCTGGTTAATGCGTTCTAGACATTATGCAGAGAGCTATGGGAGCATAAATACAAATTAAAAAAGACTCGCCCTTAAAAATCTATATCTAGCAGTCTTGATGAGATATGTATCACACCGTGACCTTGGCAGTAACCGCTTTAGGTTGGTCGAGCCAGGATGACTATCCCCGTTTCACAGTTGGAGAAGCTGAGCCCCAGGGTGCTGCCTGGGGTGACAGGGCCAGGACCCTGGAACCCGACTCCCCGCTCAGGCCGTGACCACACAGCTTTATCAGTTTAATGAAATAACTGGTTTTCAGACCCTCGCTGTTCCGCTGATCGTGTTGAAGAGCTGCCTGGCAGAGCTCCCCCTTCTGATGCATCCACGTCCCCCTGTCCCCTGGTAGCCCCAGGGACACGGCATCCTCACCCCACAGCAGCTCTCCAGCTCACTTACCTTTTATTTATTTACGCGTATTTCTCTCTCTTTTCCCTTTCAGGTTGTGATCAATTATTCAATTGTGAAAGGGCTGAAGTACAATCAGGCAACGCCAACCTTCCACCAGTGGCGAGATGCCCGCCAGGTCTACGGTTTAAACTTTGCAAGTAAGGAAGAGGCGACCACGTTCTCAAACGCCATGCTGTTTGCCCTGAACATCATGAATTCCCAGGAAGGCGGTAAGTGGGGCTTTGTCTGGCCTGGCGCCCAGACCCCCCTCCCCTCCTTCCGCCCTTCCACGGCTCTGGCTCCCAGGGTGTCCTCGATGGCAGCTGCGCTGAGCTGATGTCTGGTGGATTCGCAGAGAAAACTACTGCCTGACTCTAGATACAAAGCGCTGCTAACAGTTTGAACAAGGAGAGAGACATTTGCATCGTTTCTGCCTGTTGTGAGCTGGAGATAGTTGTACTATGTGCCTGAAACTGGGTATCCAGATGTGTTTTACCTTTGTCGTCCTACTTTCCACATTCTCAGCACATATTTGGCAGAGTTTGGAGGGAAGAAGCAAAACTGTATTCTTGGATTCAGTTATTCCTAAGTTTAACACACTGTTACTGAACACTTCTTGCATGTTGGAAACTGTCTGGGGCAAAATAGGTCAGAAGTGAATTGATGGAGCCCTTTGATTCACGGCACTTGGTAACCAAGAGAACATGGATGGACCCGTGAACTGCTAGCTATGACGTGTTGCAATAAGGGAACTAATAAGGTGTGAGCAGGGCAGGGGCTTCAGGAGCATGGAAAAGCAAAGAAGGGACTGCCCAGCTGGGCTCCGAGAGGTGGTGACATTTGAGCTGGAGTGTTGACGGGCAGGGAGCTCACGAGACGGGGGAGTGGGCATCCCAGGCAGAGGGAACGGCAGATACAAAGGCTCCTGGGCCTGAAAGCCCAGCCTGTGCGGAGAGGAGAGCGTGCAGTGTCTCTGGGGCCCATGGTACCAAAGGAAGGAGGCTGGACGTGGAATTGGAAGGTGGCAAGGGTTGCATAGGGAGAGGCTGCAGCCAACCTGGGAGACTTGGGGTGTAGACAGTGGGGCCAGGGTGGGGAGAGGAGCCAGCAGGAGCATCTGCAGGGCCAGTGAAGCAGAGAAGCAGAGGCATACGGGGCTCTTCTGGGCCATCTGTAGCATCAGCTCCCACGGGAGGACGGGGCCCTCCGGGGTGTCAGCGTCTTGGAAGCCAGAGCTGTCCAGCGCTTGGCTGAAGAACTCACCTCGGTGGCAGTGTGGGGCTGGGCCCAGGGTGTCCTGCTGGCCTTGAGTCCAGCACATGTCACTTCGTTTCTCTATGTCTCGGTTCGTTTTCTATAAGACGGGTGATATGGGGCTGTTGCTATGTGTCTGTACCCAGTCTCTTCCGTCGTGTCCGACTCTTCGCGACCCCAGGGGCTGTAGTCTGCCAGGCTCCTCTGTCCATGGGATTCTCCAGGCAAGAAAACTAAAGTGGGTTGCCGTTTCCTCCTCCATGGGATCTTCCCAACTCAGGGATTGAACCCTCATCTTGGCATCTCCTGCATTGCAGGCAGATTCTTTACCCACTGAGCCACCTGGGAAGCCTGATTGTGTGTTTAAATGAACTCAAATATAAGATGTTAGTGGGCCGCCTGACATGTGTTAATCTTCCAGTATTACTATTTATGAGTATTATTACTGTCATTGCTGCTGCTGCTGCCAGAATTAGAGCAGGAAGTGGGGAGCCATGGTACTTAGAAGCTGCAGGGAGATGCCTTTTAAATAACTGTTGTGCCTTATAGATCCGAGCTTTGGGACCTAACTTAAACCCTTGGAGAATTCTTTTTTTTTAATAACGTGTTTAGAGTATGCTTCCTGCAGGTCATATGCAGAACCGGTACTTGTCGAGCTCTTCCCCCACCATGAAAAGACTGCACGGTTTATGGATTTTCTGCTGAGAATGGAGGCTGTGTGGTGAGGGACCACAGCGGTACTTAGTGGCGAGTGCAGCGCCTGAAATATTGGAGGCCCCAAATAAATGTTTATTAAACCGTCTTTTTTCCACCCAAGAGCCTTGAGCCTCAAGGTCGAGTGAGCTGAGTTTAAGGTTTCCGATCTGAGTGGCCTCACTTGCCCCAGGATGAGAGAGTTTAGCTTTATTTTATCTACATATAGAGATACATTAAGGAGGGAAAAAAGTTTTCATTTAATCAGATGGCTGGCTCAAAGCAACTACTATTGACTTTATTAACTTCACAGTAGAATCACGAGGAAATCAACTAGTCCAAGCCTCATTTTCAGATAGAGACCTGTGACCAGTGTGAAGAAATAACTGACTGTTGCCAGGTAGTAAGTCACCTTGGAACCCCGACCTCCTGCATCCCCTCCGGGCAGCACACTGTCCTTGTTGGGGTGGGTGGGTATGTGCTCACGCTGACGGGGGCCTGACCTGAGACTCTGCTCCTGAGTCCCTTCTGGCTCACTGGCCTTTGGAGGCGGAGAGCTGGGCCCACTGCAGACAGAGCTGTTTCCTCCCCGTGTGTGGCCTGCTGTACCTTACAGACGCCTGAAGTGTGAGCTCCTTGAGCTTGTGCAGAGGCGTCTGTGGGACCCCGACAGAGACCACAGCCCTCCGCCCCTCTCAGCCCAACAAGAGCTTCAGCTTCTGTGATAACAGAGCACCTTTTGTGTTTGCACTTCACGTAAGTGGATCGCACAGTGCGGGCATCGGGGTCTGATTCTCGTCCTTGACCTCACGTCTGAGGCACCCGCCCGCGGACCCGTGTGTGGCCACGGCCGGCCCGGTCCCTGTGGAGCGCGCTCCGGGGTGTGGCTGTGCCTGCCTGCCGGGTCGTCCAGCCCCTGGAGCCTGGGCAGGACGCAGGCAGCCTCCCCACCGCTCCCACTGGCCTCCCGCTGCAGATGATTGCCACGTTTCTGTCAAATGCCCTGCCTTGGGAAGAGCTGTCCCCCCGTCCTCGGTGGGAGCCGTTCGCAGTGCAGTGGACCCTTGAACAGCACAGCTCTGAACCGGGTGTCCACTGACATCTCCGGCTCTGCGTGATCCGCGGCTGGTCGTATCTGCGGGTGCAGAGCCAGCTGTGCGGTTACACGCAGGTTCTCGCCTCTGCAAACCAGAGCCCAACCCCCCACGGTGCTCAGGGGTCAGCTGTGGTGAGAAAAGCGTATGCTTGGAGCCACCAAGGTCTTGTATCAAGGCTTCAACCTGCCACCTGTGGCCTTGGGATAATAAACCCTACTTCCTAGGGCTGACGTGAAGATTCAGTGTAAGTGTTTATAAAGCACTTAGCATGGAGTGCCTCATATGTGATAAGAGTGTGAATAATGCTGGCTCTTCCTTCCGTCTCTGGTCTTTTTGAATGTGCTTGTCTTTAGGTTTCAACATCCTTGTTTGTAAAATGGGGTCAGAAGTACCACTTAAGAGTGTGGAGGGGGAAAAAAAGAGTGTGGAGGAGAGGATTCAGTTGCCCAGCGCGGGGCCGGGCGTCTGGTAATCAACCACCTCTGCCCTTTCCTGTCCTCATTGGCGTGTCCTAGTCCGAGCCGGGCATCCGGGGCCCGGGCTCTTAGAACGTGGACTCTCTAAGCCGCAGGGTCCAGCAGCCTCTCCCAACCCCCACCCTTGTACGTCAGGGGTGCCGCCGGTGCACCCCTGTGCGTGAGCAGCGCCGCCGGCGCGCCCCTGTGCATGACCAGCGCCGCCAGTGCACCCCTGTGCGTGACCAGCGCCGTCGGCGCGCCCCTGTGCATGAGCGACGCCGGCGCGCCCCTGTGCGTGACCAGCGCCGCCAGTGCACCCCTGTGCGTGAGAGACGCCAGCGCGCCCCTGTGCGTGAGCGACGCCACCAGCGCGCCCTCGTGTGGTGCCGGGCCCAGTGTTTCTGGGTTTCCGGGTGCCGTGTGATGGGTGTGCTGAGGGGGGTTTATAGCAGGGTTCCTTGTGACTGGGCGGATGGCAGAGATAATGATTATGGTAATAAGAACATCTGCACTTTTTCCTCAGAGCCCAGGAGTTGTGTTTGTTTTTACCAGAATCTTCTCGCACGTGCTCCTTCCAGCCGCTTCTTGGGCAAAGACTCCCGGTAACCGGGCAGCCTGGGTGCGGGCCCACAGGCCACCGCCGGGCCTTCGCTGGCCGAGGGGGTGCTCCCGAATGCCCCGCTTTTGTTCCTGCAGGTGTCAGGCCAGCTTCTGTGACACACGTTTACTCAGACGGCGAGTGGGGGCTAAAGGCTGTGACCTCTCTGCCATAGCTCTCCGGTGGAACTGAGACTCGTATCTAGGGCCCCTGGTTTGAAATCCAGTGTTTTTTCTACAGCTCTGCGCTGCCCCAGGAGGTCAGAGAGGAGGGTCAGCCAGCCGTGGGCCCAGCCTGACCCCGCAGCTCTGGGCGGTCGTCTCCCTTTGGGGACCCCAAGGGCTTGGGCAGGGTCGTGGGCGTGGCTCGTGGCGTGTTACCGCCACTACAGACAAAGGTCCAAGGTCGCGGGCCTCAGTGTCGTGGGGGGTCTTCATCGTCCGGACTCCGCACCGCCAGTGCCCTTACCTGGCTTCCTCCGCTGCCTTCCTCAGTGGGCGCCCACCACCGTCTGGTTAAAGCTGCCTGTTATCAGCCAGGGGAGCCTTGTTTATGGGCTGTACTTTGCCTCCAGGCCCGCCCGGGCTTCCCTCCCCGCCTCAGTTCATTCTCTGAGTAGACATCAGTTCGTGGGTAGGGTTAGGGTTCCAACCCTGATAAAGGCAACAGCTTCTGACCTTAAACAGGCCACTTCCTGGTGTTCCCGGTCTCCCCATCCCTGTAAAGAGGGGTACAGATTTGGTCAAGATCTCTGCAAGTCCTTCTCGCGCTCGTGGTTTAGGTTTTAGGTGCGCTGTTTGGACACAGTTCACTCCTTACGGACGTGTCCCCATGGCCGATGCTCAGAGCAGGGAAGGCCCAGAGAACAAACTGGAATGGTGGAATGTCCCTCTCTATCTCCCGGAGGACCTAGCACCTCCAGGAGACAGGCTCCCTCATCACCCACAGTCCTTGTTTATTACTGGAAAAGAAAATGCTAACGAGCACACACAAATTTCCACGCTTGAAGTTGTGTTCACGGGAGAGGGGTCAGGAGCAGCTCCCCCCACAGATAGGCCGTCAGACCTCAGCTTGGACTCCCCCAGCCTCAGTGTCTCCGCCTGTAAAATAGGTGGCCAGGCCGGTCTCAG